AGAACCTTCGGGCGGACTACTTAAATTAGGCACTCAAAAGGTGCACGTGTGGCTTGATGTACTATCGTTGTAATTGCGTATAAAACACTGTTTCAAATCCTAATAAAAGCTTTCAGGCCAAAGAGGTCTCCTTAACTCTAAAAAAAAAAAAAAAAATTTACAAGCAATTTTTAGTATCAATACAAAGGAAAGTTTTTTTTATATTTTAATTATGTACTTAATTATATTTTTTAAAATTACATATTTATGACATTCATCATTTATCTAATCTAAAAGCTAATTATGTATTTTATTATGCCCATCTAATAGCTAATTATATAATTTATACCAATTCCAATCGATTGATTAATAATTACATAAATACATATATACATACATATATAATGTAACCTACCTCTACTTGATACTATATAAAGCATTTTAAAAATTTTTATACATATCTAATTATAACATAGAGTGGCATCAATTAAATCGTAATATATATACCTGTATTAGTATTATTAAATTATAGTACAACACTCCATGTTACAATTAGATATGTATAATAGTATTTTTTTTTATATTTAAATATGCTACTAACTTGTTCTTATATAGCTGTTTAACCCCAATTCTTGATTGTTATAAATATAACTTAATAATGAGAGCCATTTATTCCAGTTTAGAATCCAGTATTTTGCATTATGTGACTGGATTAAATCCTGAAAAATCTTAAAAAATCTGATCAAAGTAAGACATATATGGCTAATTTTTAATTCAACAGTGATACAATAATTCTCTCTGAATTTTTGTATCAGACTATCATTATATAGGGTTGAGTCAGTAGAAAAGAGACAAATTTTTTCCAAATAAAAGTTTTCTTGACTTTAAGATTAAATATCTTAACAACTATCTTAATAAATTTAATAAATTTTTTTATTTTGATTCTATATAATTTCAAGACTAAAATAAAAAAATTTTTAGCAAATTTGATTAAATACTTGTTGAAATATTTTAATTTAAAAATTAAAAAAATTTTACTAAAAATGATTTGTCCCTTTTCTACTAACTCACCCTCATATTTAAAAACCAGAAAAGGTTTTCTCTTAAACTTAATGATTATGAAAAGAGATTAAGTGTGAATTATTTACGCTTATAAATAATATTAATTTATATTGTAAGAAAAGATACTCAAACCTATCAATTAACAAATCTGTCAATACAATGAAATGTTAAAAAATTTATTAAAATAATATATATGTTTAAATCAAATATGTAGTTTAGTTCTTTTTCATATATAGAATTCTCATATACGCATATATAAATATAAGCTTTTTGTAATGTATAAACTAAATAAATTACCCTATTTGATATTAGTAATATAGTTTTACATGTTGTATAATTTAAAATATTATCTTTTTTTTATTAAAAGATGTTCGACTGCTAAAACCAATTGTAGTTTTTATTAATTATAATACTAATTTAGTTTAGTACAGTACTTAATTATATTTAAAAAGTTAAAAAGTTGCTATATTAGTTAGTTCTTGGTTTTATATCTTAAACATGTATAAAGTTATAAATTAATTTTTATATAATTTATATTTACTCCTATATATTCATATAATATAAATCATATATTACAGTAAGTGTGATTATATAGAGTAGACTTTATATAATCACATTCATTTATAATCACAGCTTTGTGCGATACAAACCAGGTGATTATAGAAGAGGAAAACTGTATATGAAGTCTATAATTATTATTAAAAAAAAATAGTTAATAATTTATTTAGCTATTACATTTTTATATATTATAATAAAATTTATATAATACTAAAAGCTTTTATTACTTTAAGATAGATGAATTACTTGGACTGATTAATATGCTACCAACCTAACATATATTTAAAATATTTAGTGGTTTAGTTGCAATAATACAAATAAAAAAGGTAATGCAACACTAATTATAGAGATGGGAAAGTTTGGTTTGATTTGGTTTAGTTTAATTAAACTCTAATACTAACCAAATTATAAAGTTTTAAATAACTAGTTTAAAAACTTAGTTTAAACTGGTTTAGTTTATATAAACTAAAAATAAATATTACATTTTTTATGCACCCTTACATAATTGTACATAATTTTGCATAATTATGCGTAAATATACATAAATATGTAAGTTTATACGAGGGGTACATACAAATATTTAAGAAGTACATAAAAAATACACTATTTATAATTTATATACAAACTGCATTAAAACTAGCTTAAATAGTTTAAAAATCTAAACCTGGTTCATAAAATAACCTATTTTTAAACTAGTTTCAACCTGGTTTTTTTAGAAACTTCCCCATCCCTACTAAATTAGTAACATTAATGAATCAGAAACCATAATTTAAGCTGCTGGATTCCCTTATTGAATACATTAAGTCGTGGAATAACGCTCAGAGGTTAATTTCTAAATATGGTCTAAAGCTTAATTTGGGCATTATTTGAAATAACACATGCCTGTTATACAGTAATTAATATACGAATAAATCATTCTTTCACAAAAATTTATGAACTCAATTATTGCACTAATTCAGAGGAGCGATAGCGAGATTTAACAATTTATTATTTCAAAATTTAATGATGTATAAAACAATAGCATTTGAACGTTTCAAAATAAAATAAATTCCATTGTTGAAATGCTTTATTAACATATGTCATCTCATCAAATTAATACTGTACATAAAAAAAATACATTATAATTATCTACATTAATTTTAAAATCCCACATTTGTAACAAACTCTATTATCCTTTAATTATAAGACTGTGCTCGCGGAATGGTAGAAAAAGATCGTCAATAGTATTCACCATATTCTGTATATTCACCGTATTCACCACCGTATTCCTCATAATCATCCCCTAAGCCAAAATCGTAAAAATCGTCAAAATCATCATCGTCAAAGCCATAATCATCAAAATCATCCTCGTCAAAATCGTCGTAAGGATTAGGCATACCATATTGCCGTTTATCGTAACTAGGCGCCTTGTCGTAGGGATTGAATATACTGCGCTTTTTTAAACACAATGGACAGTTCATTGCGATCGTTGCAATGATCATGTACGAGAGCAAGAACGATAGAAGTAGAAGTTTTTGTGTTTGAGTAACCATCGTTGTACGAGAAGATTTTAATATATTTAGTGCAAGACGGATTATAAAAATGATTGCTGCAATGTTTGATTTGGACGCTTGGTATTTTTCTTTTCTTATAAATATATTTTTTGCTACATCCAAACTGTTATGCATCAATCGTCGAAAGTATCTCATCTGGCAATGAAAGAAATGCATCATTCATCATTTACAAATGAATCATTATATGAGAATTAAAATTTATTGATATCGACTTATAAAATAATAATAATAATAATAAAATTTATTAATGAAAAATTTATCTTTTTTCCGGTATCATATTAATATATATAAAGATTCCAATATAATAATGTTAATATATCGTTATTAATATTATTAATATCGTATTATTACAATTCAACCATCATCTTATTAAATAAATTCATTGCTTTATCTATCATTCTCAGAAATAACGCGTTCATTTACTATGAAAATATGCATGGATATTGTTCCTGTAACAAGTAAATTCGCAACTCTTTGAGCATTGAATTATTTTGGCTCCATATTTTATGCCATTAACCTTTATTACTTATTAATTCTATGAAATACTGCATAATAAAACTTTAGCAAGCATCCGGTCGTTATACCTTACTGCATAAACGTGAAATACATTATTTCGCGTTAACCATGACTGTCATCCGATTTTATGGTTTTAATAGTGCTTGGATTCGGGTAATTCGGGTAATTATTATATTATGGATAGCCAATATTTGCTCTCTATCGCTATACTAATCACGAATCGTCCATGGCAGGCATTGAAACATGTGAAAAGTGTCCATGAAATTACGATATAATTTAGTAGCGTTATGACTGTTGTCATGTGTTTCGTAATTTTGCGTCCGGTACCATCTGATCCGATGAGTGACATTCGAATATACAGATAGATACATTATTGTTTCACGAAATATATCGCTATATTATTAAATTATTTTGAATAAATTAGACCACTCCAAATTGATTCTTCGTTTAACATTGCATTAAATAGTTCATAAGACTGGAGGAAGGGCATAAAATTAAAAAAAACTGCAATTCTATTGGCTGTAAAAAAAATACAAAAAATACAAAAAATATGAAAGATAATACTACAATTTGATTGGTAATGCGATGTGTACTTTTTATAAAATTTTGAAAAATAGGGGGGAAGGGAGTTATGTTAAACGAGAATTATATTAGTTTGGTCTTAGCCAATCATAATTAGCGGCCAGCACTGTGTCATCATCAGGCTAAAATCTCAATAATTTGGCGAATAGTAGCGCTGTGAATATTTATTGTTACGTATTACAAGTCGACATCTCAAAATAGGTAATAATATAAAAAGAAAATATATATATAAATAAAACAAAAAAGAATTTTCGACTTATGATCACTAACAATGAAAAAAAAAGTAACATTTTTCTTTTTTTTTCATCAATTTAAGTAGTAACTGTAAGTCTATAAACCACCGTTATTACACATAAAACGAACAACATGCTTATTTTTCACTATGGGGAAATAACCCAGTAGATCTCCAGAGCGTAGCAGGGCAGGAATTCCGGTTTTTCCTTACTGTAGATTTGGGTTTGGCCAGTATACATTAAGAATAAAAGGGCCCACATCACATGATTTTGAATTATTACCCAAAATTCTCGAAAATTGAATCGTATAAATTCAGCCAAACAAGGCTACCGTATAAACGCGTAATAACGCACATGGGCGTTATTTCGAAATTTAAATTTTTATAAAAATGGCATTTGACTCAATGTCAATTTGGGAATTATAATTCATAACTGGGATGCATCGCAATAATTTAATAACGCCCATGCGCGTATAGTTGTTAGACGAAACCTTTTCGTATGGTGATGAAAGACGAAACCTAAACCCCAAAAGACGAAACCTCTGACGAAAGACGAAACCTTAAACTTAAAATGACGAAACCCTATACTCAAAAAGACACAAAAAAAAAATTATTCATTTAATAAAAATTCATAATTTATCCAGAGATCAGTATCCGAAATTACATGTAGGCAATAAAATAATTCTGCTCATTTTTTTTTTGGTCAACGCTAGGGTTGTTATAGATAACTTTGTCAAAAAGCCATAGACTCATGGTATAACACAAATAATGAATTAAACCATACTGACACAAATAAATTTGTAAGAACGCAAAGTAAGCACCAAGCGATTTCTTACTAGAAAACTGATATGTGGTGTACTAGTATAATACACTATAGAATATTCATTTCTAACCCCCTTTAAACATCTCAAGTGCATATTATACAATAAAATTTTTTGTAATTTTTATAAATTCTGTTTTAGTTAGTTTATTTTCTATTCACATCTTCAATGAGTTTCAACAATTAATCTGTATCTTTGCCTTCTATCAGTTGTGTCGCCCTTTGCAGTTTCGTCACCTTTCGTCATTTCGTCATTTAAGATTTTAATTGACGAAAAACGAAACTAGGTTTCGCGTTTCGTCATCGCGAAACCTCGAGGACAACTATGCATGCACGTTTCAAAATAACACGCCCCATATGTACCAGATTATTTACCATATAGACCCGAAATAACGCCCACCTGCACGTTAATTGATTGACCTGCGCGTTATTTCGAAATAAGAGATGATTTTTAGAGCCTAAATAATTTTAAAATAACGCGTATATATGTTATGCGTCGATAGTTGATTCCGTCATTCAGGGACCGACATATGTTATTAGTTGATCTGCTAATAACCCGAGTTA